CAAGAAAACGCAAGTTTCAAGAGGCAGCTGTCGTCTACATGAATGCTGGACTACATAAAGAGGCGATAGAAGAATATAGACTTGGTTTAGGCTGGAGAGAGGTCATAAGGCTTATGACTGTATTGAAGTATGATGAATCTGTCAAGCGAGATGTGTTGGGGAAGATTGCGGATGACCTGGTAAAAGAGAAAAGGGTAGAGGAAGCTGTGATAGTGTTGGAATCCCATAATAAAGATTATAAGAAGACGATCAAGACTTTGATGGACTTCAAGTCCTTCAGGCACGCCATATGCCTAGCAGTATCACTGGGTCTTGATTTAGAACTGCCTACTATTGCCGACGGTTTGAGCAAATATCTAGGCGACCTAAAACTGTTGTCGTTCAAGGATCAGTTTGAACGGTACAGAAGGCGTCTGAAGATCGCAAGAAAGGAACAGATGAACAGGTTCGAGCTAGACGCATTGGGCATCTACAATCGAAATACGGAATAAGAACTCTCAGACATTGCTAGCACTAGTTCCTCCATGCCATCGACTAGCTCTGGACGAACTAACTCCACCACTTTGACAGCAAAGAACAGGCGTAAACATATCAAGGAACTGACCCCTAAGCTGATCAGATTGTGCAGTCCTTTGAACTTTCGAATTGCTTGCAAGTCCGTCCTCACTATAAACTGCATTTTTTCAAAAATGAAAGACAAAGTCCCGCTGCTTGGCTTAACCTTTAACTACTCGCGCTGGTGTATATAGTACACCAAAATGGCGCCGAGGGCTGCCGAGTCCATGCGAATAGCTGTTCGTCCGCCGAGCCAGGTATGCCTCGCTCGATGTATCTTCCAGATGTAGCGCCAGTACGGTTCGGATCGCTAGAGGACAAGGTTAGATATTTCAAGAAGTTTGAGGTGGTGTACAAAATACACCAAGGCGAGCAGTTATGTAAGTAGATAGTGGAATGTATTTTTTTTAGGTTTTCCATGAAAACTTATTTGTAATGTAGTCTGTATATTTGTATATAATTAAACATCGATTATATGTTTTGAATTAATTGATTTATTCATTCAAGGAATCGAGTTAAGGTGAAAAATCCTCAAAAATTGACCCAAGATGAATTAGCGGCTATAGCCCAAGTTATATGTGATACGGATACCGAGGAAGAAGTTGGAGGAGAAGAGATTCTGATGGAAGTGAACAAGTAGAGAAAGAAGCACACAATTCGGATTCAGAACAAGAAATAAGCGAACTAGAAGAAGTGGATGAAGTGGATGTTGATCAAAGTAGTTCTGATTCTGAAGATATCCTGCTCGGTGTTAGCGGCCAATAAACAAGATAAGTATATTGGCAAAGACAAAAAGACTATTTGGTATAAAAATTATCCCATGAGTAAATCCAGCAAGTCCAAAATAAAAACATTATAAAAATACTACCAGGGCCAAAGCAATGCGCACGTGACATAACCGATGAGACAAGTGCGTTTTCGAAAATTTTTGATGATGAAATGATTGAACATATTATTCACTGTACTAATTTAGAAATTTCAAGAGTTAGGGAAAACTATGATCGAGAACGAGACGCAAAGGACGTTACAAAAACGGAAATGCTGGCTTTTATAGGCTTACGGTTTTTATCTGGATCTAAAAAGCAAAACCACACCCATTTTTGGAATTATGGACAAAAGACGGTACCGGATCAGAAATATTTCGAGCTTGCATGAGTTATCAAAGGTTTCTTTTCTGCTGGCAAATATTCGATTTGATGACAAAACAACAAGGCATGAACGCAAGAAAATAGATAAATTGGCCGCAGTGCGGTACGTTTTAGATAAATTTGTAAGTAATTGCAAAAAAAACTACTCTATGGGCGAATTTATGACAATAGACGAAATGTTGATTGCGTTCCGAGGACGATGCAGCTTTGTCCAGTACATACCAAACAAACCTGCGAAATATGGTTTGAAGGCATTTGTGCTCTGTGATGCTAGAACATTTTATGTGAGTAATTTGGAGCTGTACTGTGGAAAACAACCAGATGGCCAATATAGCCAATCTAATACACCAACTGCCATCGTTCACCGTTTGCTAGCAGAACAAAAAGGAAGCAATAGAAATCTAACCTCCGATAATTGGTATTCAAGTTACCCTTTGGCAGTGGAACTTCTTCAAGACAAAATAACATTCATCGGAACCCTGAAGAAGAATAAGCGAGAGCTGCCGATAGAGTTCTTGCCAAATAAAATAGGTTGGTTGGGTCATCACTTTTTGGATTCCAAAAGGATGTAACGATAGTTTCACATGTCCAAAAAAAAATAAATGCGTGGTTTTGATTTCAACTATGCACGACGACTCCACTATTGATCCATATACCAACAAACCTGAAATAATTCTAGATTATAATATGACCAAAGGGGGTGTGGACACAGTGGACAAAATGTGCAATACCTATTCTGTTGGAAGAAGAACAAAAAGGTGGCCATTGGCTTTCTTCTTTCAGTTGCTAAATATAGCAGGCATCAATAGCCAAATTTTGTATAACGGCACTCACCCTGAATCTCCTCACAAGTCCAGAAGAATTTTCCTGAAAACTCTTGCTCTGTCATGGATGAAACCTTTTCTTTCTGAAAGAGCTGCAATACCTACGTTACCTATAGATATCAGACATTTCCTATCCAGATATAGACAAACTCAAATGGATGAAGAAGAGGAGCCACCCAGAAAAATTAGAGGAAGATGCTCCATCTGCGCCCGAAAAAAAAATAGAGTTACCACAATTACATGCAGCATTTGTCACCAGTTAGTGTGTAAAGAGCATAGTGTCAACGTTATCACCCGCCACAAATGTAAGGAAGGCGGATCCCATAGTGAATAGAGAATTATTAATTATGGTTGTTTTTTTCAATTTATTTTTACTGTCTTATTTGATTTTGTTTACTATTTTTGCTAATAAATATGTATTTGAGTTCAACAGTTGCTCTTATTACCACAGCTATAACTTATAGGGCAAACAAAACATATATTTGGATCATAACTAGCTACGGTGTACAAAATACACCGCGCGAGTAGTAACGTGAAATAAAAATGCGCGAGTAGTTAAGGTTAACCAATACAGTCTACTCCATCAATTGTAACAACTGCAACCAAATATACATAGGTTAGACCTCCAGATCTCTTAAAGGAAGGATTACATCACACAAAAGTGATGCGAGGCTTCATCCTGAAAGATGCGCTCTAGCATCTCATGTTAACACAACAGGGCATTCTATGAATTACACAAGTACCAAAGTTCTTGATAAAGAAAAACACCTTTCCAAACGTTTATTCCTGGAAATGTCCCACATTTTCATGAATAACAACTGTATCAACAAAAAGACAGATGTTAAACAACTGAGTGTCATTTACTCATATTTGCTAAACTGCAAAAAATTGGAGAACCTACATATCTCCCCAAATTTCGACTCTTCACAACCATAAATAGAATCTGTGTTTTGGCCGATTCCACCAGTAAATTTCATTCCACTCAAAATATAATAATTCTCTTCTCACGATTTATTAATAATTGTTAATTTAAATTCCATTAATTAAAATATAGTTTATTCAACTGCCTCTGGTCGGTTTAACAATTTCTCACATAACATTCTGAAAATCACATCATCTGAAATGATTTGGCAACGTTTGGCACACGCCCACAATTCGTTCCATCTTTCAACACAGACATTGACAACCTTAGGCCCTCTGTCAAGGGTTTCATCTCACTCACTATTCCATGACCACCATTTTGTGCAATCATCAGGTGGCTTCACGATGTAATGCTCTAATGTTTTTTAAATAATTTTAATCTGTTTGTAACTTGTTCTTGTCATATTTTATATAATTTTGACCATTGTACCATCTATCCAGCCCTCACCATGTTACTGGACGTTTCCCGCACCCTATACGTAAACAACAATTAGCAACATCCTCACATACTACTGTAAGTTGAGTCAATTTGAATTCATTTTACACTTTGTTGCTACTGTTATCATTGTAATTGCAGCTCCTGATGATGATGGCAAAGTCCATTGAAAGCTAGACAGAATTAAAAAAGTATAAAGAGTCCTCTTTGCTTAAATTTTGTCGAAGTACCCAACAAAAGGCGGAAGCTTTAATTTTTCACCTAACTGGTCTAGACGACAATGACCACGTCTCAAGTTATATGTATATATATATATATATAGTAAATAGAAAGACACCTGTGACAAATTTCTCACGGATATTTTTTTAACGCGGGAATATAGCATTAGGGCTATCTTCAGATAAAATACTTTAATCAATACTATTACATAGTAATTCATTACAAATTATTCTATTTCCTAGCGATTAGACCAGCTAACACGCCAGATACTTTCTCCGTGTATACATCCGACTGGAAGTTAGGTTATTCGACCCTTCTAATTGCTTTTAACTTGGGACTGATACTTGTTTATTCAAGAGAACTAATCCAAATCGATTTACTAATGGCAGAGCATAAGCTGACATGCTTGATCTGGAATCCACTGTAATACCAGCGATACTACTAAGAGTTCATTCTGCATGACCTATGCATGCATACTAAATGGGAAAAGACTTCTCATTTTGGATCATAGCAAACTACCTGCAACATTTGACTACAAGATAGTGGCAATATTTGACGTGAACGACGATTACATCAACTGCTTGTGCTGGAACCATTATGGCAGCAAAATTTCCGAGTGTACAGGAAACGGATTTGTTTATGTAAGTAATAGCGACATCGACCTGTTATCAATGTTGTTTTAAGCGCATTCGAATTGACGTATCTCACCAAACTGAAAACCGGTTCAGTTTCATAAAAATCTACCTCAAACCTAGGGTTGTCCAAATATAAAAATCAGTTAGCTTGATGTTTGGAATTATCTGCCATAAAGTATGACAGACATGCATATAATGATTTAAAGTTACTGTCGTAAGTATATTGATCCCTGATACCTCAATGCCCACGCTGAGTGGCGGAAGTCTTGAAAATGATATATTTTTGGATGTTGATGAATATAGCAATCAAGTCAGAAGATTCAATGAAAAGGCCAACCATTGCTCACAGTGAAGGCGTCGCGAAAAATAGCACACTAGACGTAGCACGTGTAAATATAAGATCACTTATTCCAAGCTTTGATATGTTTATTAGGCATTAGAGCAGAACCTCAATACTACAGCAATAACAGAGATTTGGTTTACACCTGATTTTGACAGACAAGAAAGAGGAGGTGGAGCATGTTTTTATATCCATACCAACATAAAATTTAAAGTCATAGATTGTAACAAAATTTCTTCGGATGGCATTAGATCTGCGGTTATCGCTAAAACTAAATAATGAGATCAGTGCGGTAGCTGTTATTTGACATCTCCTGCATTAAGTTTACTTCCTCGCCTTGAGAATAACCATCCTTCCATATGCATTACCCATGATGAAGTTATATTGACCTCACCGATAAGTTTTCGAATCCCAGTAAGAAAAATCTTACAATCCATGGCATTATTCAATCTCGTTCAAGTTACTGGTGAACCTACAAGAATCACCAAGAAATCAGCTACTATGATTGATGTAAGTTTTGTATCAAATGCATTGGATGTACACAAGAGTGGCACTATAGGTATGGGAAAATATGACATACGTGCTCCGATGGAAATAACTACACCTCGTGAATTCTACAGGCCGTTCGTTATCTATATGATGAAATGTATAATATGACGGATTTGAAGAAGGGCTTGTTGAAAATTTCATATTTCTTAACGACCTGCAGAAGGAAGCATACAAAACCGTTGACCCGTGCCATCGGAACTACTTTCAAATTATCAGGCTCTATGCGCAAAGCCTTTCAAGAAAACGCAAGTTTCAAGAGGCAGCTGTCGTCTACCTGATTGCTGGACTACATAAAGAGGCGATAGAAGAATATAGACTTGGTTTAGACTGGAGAGAGGTCATAAGGCTTATGACTGTATTGAAGTATGATGAATCTGTCAAGCGAGATGTGTTGGGGAAGATTGCGGATGACCTGGTAAAAGAGAAAAGGGTAGAGGAAGCTGTGATAGTGTTGGAATACCATAATAAGGATTATAAGAAGACGATCAAGACTTTGATGGACTTCAAGTCCTTCAGGCACGCCATATGCCTAGCAGTATCACTGGGTCTTGATTTAGAACTGCCTACT